AGTGGTAAACTAAATGTGGTTCCATGTTCTGTGTGCATACACGTGGTTCACGCGACTCGAACCAAATTTACTCAAAATGTAAACAAATTTAGAAACTATGCGTGTATGTGTATGTGCACATTTGTTCACTGCTACAGCTGTGGTCTTCGTAAGCCATTGAGCGAACATGTCACAGAAACACGGAAACCTCGTGAAACTCCACAACAGGTGGCACGACACACCTACTACCCACGATGTAACGTAAATAACTGCGGAAAGTCATAGTAGGCGACCAGCGAAGCGAACCCGAATCACTCATTATACACCACTTGTGTAGAATTGACACCTTCGCTTCAAGCACCTTGTTTAGTTAAATGTGAGAAATGCAGTTGTTCAACTATGGTGCAAGTTATTCTAGAGTGTCTGACAAGTTTAAGCTTATGGCTTCTGATATGCTTCTATGGAAAAGGATATACTCGTACACTTGGTCAGAGGATATCAGTCAAAACGTACCAAGCAGCAATCGCAAGAAAATCTCTTCAACTGCTCAGGAAAAATAAGATCAACAGAAGGAATGTAAAATTGATCTTTCCATTGTTTACTCAGTGCTCTTTTTTGGTAAATTTTAATATTATCTGTACAAAATTAGTATGACATACGTATATGTACGCTTCTTCGGAAGACTCTTATAAGAAACTTTAACTAAATATGTGATGTTTCGATTCATTTGAAAGGACAAATGTTTGAAGCAGATCGTTTAGTTCGTTTAGTTCGCACCCATACTAGGGTGGTTAAAAAAAGGAATGTTGTTTTTTCGCTTGGTCTTCCACTTTACCGTTATCTATGTTTTTCTTATGATCGGATAGAAAGATTCATATATTGCTTCAAACTTGAAACATTATTTTATGGATTTTGTAGGAAATTGAATGCTCTACAAAATGGTCTCTTACGGTGTTTTCGTAAACCTAACCGTTTAAAAGATATTAACGGTTGAAGTTTGACTAATTTGAGGAAATTTGTTTTTTTTGCCAATAGCCTGCTCTATCAAAAATGGTATCTCTTTTCCTCAATTATTTTGTTTTTGTACTGTGATAGGCAATGATGGTTGACATTTCTCGAAAAATTAACAATCGGTTTTTTCGAACCATCCTAACTTATACTTTCTCTTCTTAGTTAGAATATAGTAACTCTATAAGTTTTTCGGTGTTAATTTCAGTGACAGTGTCAGCCAATTAGCTTTGTTTGTTTCTTATTGAACAGTTTAGTCTTGCTTAGAAAATATAAAGCTATAAGCAGAAGATGACTTGAGTTCGTCTCCAATGAACCGGTTGGACCAGTCTGTAAGGGTTTGAAAAACTTTACGACACCCAAAAGGCCCTTAGTTCCATTGAAAGTGTGTGTATGTGCCTCAAATGAATGCCAGCGAGCTAATATTCGATTGCACGAATTTGCCCCACAAACATAAATTTGTACATATGGGTAGATAAGTAGAGTCGCATTCGACGGCATTGTTCAATCGCCCTCGTTATTGTGACTATATTTATTTATGCAGTTATTTATCTCTACCCTTTGAAAAGTCACCGATCGCATGAATTAAGCAGATGACGGCCAATTTAATTTGTTTTGCTTTGTTTTTCCGCTTTTTCTAGTTCACAGCTTACCGAAGTGTAACTGAAAATGAATGCAAATGAATCTGCAATTCCACTGCCTCTTCTGTGTGTGCTGACATATGTCATATATTTCAGAGTCACTTTTTATATCATCTGTAATGCCCATTTTTTGACACTTTTCACTTTGGATTGGTTTCAGATCGTTACACCAGTGACAAGTGTCTTTGTTCATCAACGAAAAGGTGTATGTATCTGTTGCTGTCTTTATAAAAGATAATACATAAATAACAGAACTTAAGGGTTTTAGAGTTTTTACACGAACTCTCAGGCGCAGATAGCTTTGATGTAGCATATATTTAGAAGTGAGGGCATTCTTAAGATTAGAAGAGGATTTTCATCTCGGAATCTTAAATGGTTTCTAAAAGAAGAAACGTATACGTTGTTTCCTTGTGGTCGAGGTACGTTCATGTGGATGCTTTTTCTTTGTTTCTGCCTTAAATGTTATTTTGTCTCGTGTTGTGATTTTCATTTATATATTTTAAAGACGTCAGTGTGGTTGTGCAATCGCTTGGAAACTGACAAATTAGCAATTCATTATTGTTTGGCATGACCTTAGGAGAAATTAACTGTTAATTAGCAACAATGCGGAAATCAGATAACACGAAAGAAGCCAAAAATATGCAAATTCAAGTCCTCTGCAACCAAGAAAGGCCCGTTATTAGTTTATAAAGTTAACACCCGAGAAAAATACACTAACAAACAGGGGAATGTGGAGCGTGAAGACAACAACAAAAAGGCCAATTTTTTCCCCAAAAACTGACCTAGGCATTTACTCCTAAAGTAGAAGAGCATAAAAAGCAAAAAATAAATGATTGTATTTTTAGAATTGTGCAAGCAACAGCAACAACGCGCTGAAACAAATAAAATTAAATAACGGTGATACAAGCATTCACGCCTCCACCGAGTAGGCCGGATTGAGGGAATCCACACGCAGACCGAAGAAGTGTTGAAATATTTGTATAAATGCCATCATGTATGTGTGTGCGTGAACAACAATGAGAGAAAGTTGCAGACGGCTGCCAAGAAATCAGCAAAAACAATTGGTTGTTGTTGTGGGCGAAATGCGATTGCCCCAACAAATTATCAAGCAGCGGTGTCATAGCACCAAAATCCGCCGTCCGCATTTGTGCGGTAGTGCTGACAGTAGCAAAAGCAAATTCATTACACAACCACACACACGCACAAACACACAAAAAAATTCATGATACCCACAATAATAAATTTGCATAGTTCCTATTTGAATTCCGAATATTAACAAAGAGGGCGGGACAAGGTGTGCAGCAAGAGAGGAAAGGAGAAACGCATCAATATTACGAAAAATTGCCAGTAAATATTGTGAGTCAACAAACAAAGAAAGCATAAAAACAATGAGAGATGTGGAGCAAGTTGGCAACCATTGTTGACCACACACATACACATGCACACAGATGACATTGCGAAGTACTCTGTGGTAAATTTCACAGATTTGTAGCTTAAATAAAATTGTTAAGACTCAGTGAAAAAATCAAAATGTGCACCTGTTTCGGATAGTTGACGAGCTCTGGTTCAAAAAAGAAACAAAAGTGCTGAGAAAGCGGCAGAGAAAAACATTTTATGACATTGTGACTTAGATAATTGAGAATTCACTCTTCCTTTGACTTTGACACCGTTAACATTTGTCACGTTATTAAACAGTGCCTGTGGTCACAAAGTCTGCGAGGTGGTTGGAAAGCGAAAATAATTGACTTGAAGAGAGGAAGAGACTCTTGTTTGTTTTGTTGGCTCAAAAATACCTGCATGAAAACGCCGTATTTACAGTTAATTTTGGTTCAAACTCAGAATATAACATATTAGTCAGATTAAATTGAAATCTACATCGATACCTGGCGCATATTTTTTTACACCTACTGTATTCTTATTTGATTGTCAATATTTGTAACGATTGTTTTGCTTACATGACTGTTGTTATAAACATACATACATATATGGTACATGCTTTACTTGTATATAGGCACATTGTTAAAAAAATGTTGTCTCGTTTATCATTTCATAATTAATCTCTAACTTTATTGTTGTTTTAATGCACTGCATTGTTATATTGCTACAATGAAGAGCAGCAAAAAGTCATAACGGAAAAAATAAAAAGATTATTTAGCGACATTTGGAGCGTGTGCTATTCATTCGTGTTGCGCGTGAGGAATTGAGCGGAAAGGGTCTTTTGCCGTAATTAAATGAAGTTATAAGTGACTTGATCATTTTCGTGTCGCAAGACGGACTGTTACAAGACAAGATAGTTGCGCAAGCCATACCTGCCAACATGCTTATACCTACATACCGAATTGCGCGGCCTTCACATGTGTATGCGACTCGGCTCTTATTAGGCCAATAGGCTTAGCAATTAGGTTGTCCGCATCGCCGTAAACAGTGGCATAGACCGATTTTTACGGGAGTTTTATTTAAATAAATGTAATGATTTGAGAAGAAAATGTGATATCTAACCAAACAGCTGCAATGGCGTCAAGTCTCTGAGGTTGGACTTACGTTCTAATATGACACTTCTAAACTTTTGTCAATACTTTAAACCATAGTGTGTCATATCAGTAAATTCTCTCCTAGCCTCGCCCCGGGTAAAGGTCCATTCAAATCTAAAAATTAATTTTTTTATTTTTATTCAATAACGGTAAATTTCCCCAATGCACGTCCCCGCATACCCATCCGTCTTGCGAAGTTAAACGCCGTCAGGAACCACACATCACAAATGAGTGGAAAAGCTTGTGAAAATATCAAGCGAAACAACTGTTCGGCTTGTGTGTGCGTAAATATTTATCGTCTAACCTGCAACTCAACACATTTTGAGTAATGATCGCTGGACGCTTTCATTTCGCTTCGTTTTCAGATTAAACGCCGATTAACGGCAATTTTTCATACTTAACAAATTAATTTAATTGCAATCGCAATTATTTTAGATATTTAAGCGTTTGGCGAGCCTGTTGGCATTCACCCAAGTGATTTGTATGCGATGTCATTTATTACTTTTGCGTCTTTTTGAGGTTTTAAATTCCCTTTCGCTTTCCACGCGATTGTCTGACATAGACGAATATTGTTACACAACTCGGTAATGCGTTCACATAACAATTTTCCTACAGGTTTTCAAATTATTAAGTGAATTCGTTGGCAATTTTTAAATACGATGCTCTACTGTCTTAAAGTAATTTACGTCTTCCAAGGAGTATGTATTGTAAGCAATCTATAAAAGGTGACCCCCGCAACACAAAATTGAATAACAATTCCTTGAATTATGCTATAAAACATGTTGTTTTGTTTTTCCTATAATACAGCAAGAAAATTAATTTTTTCTTGTTCCCATTTCAGTTGATCGGGATTTCAATATCCATAGCAACAGCGCTAGCCACAGCCGACGGATCTGATGCCAAACAACGTGCCAAAGCGACAACAGCCAAGCCCACTACAACTCCAAAGGTCGTAGAGAGTGGAAATGCAAAAGCCGCGGCAAAAACATTAGTGAAGCCTGGAACCACTGCAAGCGAAGCGAAAACTCTCAAGACATCAGCCGCTATCACGAACGCCAGCGATAAGCGTGGAAAGCGCACACTTTTTGATTTCGAAAATGCCGGCTATCTCTATCCGGAAATCGCAAGTCGACGCGCTGGCTACGAGAATAACGGACAAGCCTATTATCCGCAAAGTGGTTATTACAACGGGCAAGAAGCGATTGGTGAGTGAAATTTGTGGGAGATCTGTGAAGAGCTAGTAACTAATCCTTTTATTTGATCGTTGTTTCTTTAACCACTTTCCAGCACAATTCCCAAACAACTATATTGGACCCCAGTACTATCCACAATATTTGGAAGCACCCGAGCCGATAATCGAGATCATTATAAAGGATTCAAATGAAACGCTGCCTGAACCCGAACCACAACCCATTGTCACCAAGAAAAAGAAGGAGAAAGTTCATGTTTTCTATGTAAACTATAAGAAAGACCAGAACAACAAATTGCATTTGGAAAGTCCCATCGCCTCTCTCAACAATGATGACAATGAAGAAGAAGAGGAGGAAGAGGAGATCGTGCATTACCCAGTACCTGCGACACCAGCTCCACCAGTTAAGACTACAACGCTGCGCACTATCATCCACCCCGATTCGGAGAAATATCACAGCAATAGTGGAATTCATGTAACTTTCGGGTCCGAGGACAAGTCTCAAGCGGGACACCAGCTTGAGGAACATAACGCCGAAAGCGTACAGAGCCAAGTGGTTGCCATACCTGTCGGAGGTGGCGCACAGGACGCTTATAATACGCGATCTGACTTCGGCGCTAGCACACACAGTCAGTCGCAAGCTGGTACCAATCAACTATTTACTGGATATTTTCAACAGGCACATCTGCAACAGCAACAACAACAAGCGCAGCAGCAGTTTCAGCATCAAAAGCAACAATTGCCATTGCAACAAAGCGGCAATTACTTCCGTCCACCTGCCGCCCTTGTCCAACAGCCATCTGCGAATTTCTATCAAAAGCAGCAACAATCACAATACCAACACCCCCAGCAACAGCCCCAACAATCACAACAACAACAACGTCCTCAATTCAGCTCATCCTTTAAAAATGTGGTAAATCCACCACCACCACCTTCACCATCTCCTACAACCTTGCCGACTTTGCAGCAGTTGCCACAACTGCAAGCACAATTTCGCAAAACTTTTGGAGCTTCTAGTTCCCCACAAGGCCAATTTTACTCCAATCACAATCAGCAATATCAGCAACAGCCTAGTAATCAGCAACAATCCTTCTTCAGCAGTCTAATTCAGAAATCCACACCTGCTCCGCCGAAACAGTCGGTGTTTTTTCCTACCGCACCACCCAAATCTCAAGAGTTGCCTTCCCGACAATCGGGATTTCCTTATCAGCCAGTTAAGTTCCGTCCGACACTTCCAGCACAACCCCACATTAAGCAAGTTCCCATACCGGCCAAGTTGGAGAACACAAATTATCAAACTGCGCAAACGCAACAACATTACCACCAACCACAGCATCCTTCAAACGTGGTGAAACACCAGCAGAGTTATCACTCACAACAGCCCTTCCAGTTCAATCGACAGCCGCAGTATGTGCAACAGCCGACCTTCTTATTACCTTCACCACAGACGACACAATCTAGCAGCAACAATGGCAATTACTTTAAACAGACGTCTCAACAATCACACTCTCACACTCAGTTGCTCAATCTGAAATTGGCGTCAAGTCGTTTCCAACCACAGCAGCAACAACAAGCACAACAGTCCCACCAGCAGCCTCAGCAACAGGTTCAGCAACAGCATCAACCGCAGAACCAGCAAAAGTCAAATCAACAGTCCTATCAACAGAGCCAGCACCAGTCCCAACAACAGACACAGCAGTTACAGCAGCAATCTTTTCAAACACTGCAGAAGAACCATCAACAAAGCCAGAAGCAAGCTTATCAGAGTCAGCAGAGCAGCTTACCAAGTCCCAGCAGTCCCACCACTGCCTCTTTGCAGTCGCCATCGGATCCAATTAGGTCGATTCATAACTACTTCGGAGTACAATCTTCTAAAGAAACTGAACTTCTCAAGTCGATACCGAAATATGAGCAGCATATAACTGAGACTATCGAGACTCCAATTGGCGGCGGCGGCAGCAGTAGTGGGCAATACAATGGCTTTGGCAATTTTGCGTACCAAACACAAAATCAAGTATTGCATGACATACCAGCACCACATTTAGGACCCACGCCGGCACCAAACACAGCGCAACAATCATACCAACAACAGCAACAATCCAGCTCAAGCTATGCAAGTGGTAGTTCGGTGAATACGCATTACCTCACAGCGGCGGCTTTGCAATCAGTAAAAAGTCAACAACAACAGCAGCAACAACAATTCAGTAATTTTGTAACGGCTCAGAATGGCCAACATTCCGCCTATCCGACGACGACACTAGCGCCTCCGCAGTACGCCCAAACCACAGACGGCGAGAAGGTCATGATCATAACACCTTTACCCCCGACGGCATACAACCAATATCATTCCACTCAGTACCAGCAGGAAGTAGCTGCTACACAAGTGCTCGCCAGTTCACCCTCATTGCAGACACAGCCAGCCACTAACTTCGCTCAGCAACCAAGGCAATCTGGTGCGGGTAGTTTGATATCTTCAACCGTTTCCAACGCAGCTTCAGGTGGTTCATCGCAATTTGGTGTATCGACCTTCCACTCTGATGTCTTCAAAGAATTAGAACAGCGTCGCAATGAAGAAAAGTCCGTCTTGAGCCAATTTAGTTTTGGCTCACAGCCGGCATCAAGAAATGGCAAGCCCTACCTACCCGCCATTCAAACTAGTGCCAGTAATTCCAATTATGGTCCAGACTCCACTGCAAGCAGCAGCACCCCCACTCCACAGAGCGCACATAATACTGAAGGTACGAAAAAAGAAGCTAAAGTCTCTCAAACACTACTTCAATTGCCCGATGAAGTTCCCGACGACTTGCGCCAACAGCTGCTATCGTCCGGTATTCTCAGCAACGCAGACATTTCCGTCTTGGACTACGATAAGGTGGGGGACGTCGCTTTGGAGAATCTACCTGCTGAGCATCTGCAGCACTTCTATGGAGCTGGTGGAGCAGCACAGATTTCCGCTTCGAAAAAAGTCGTCACGGTGGTCAAGCCGAATGGGGATAAGGTTTCGCTTAGCGAAAAAGATATTGAACGCGTCAAGCAGTCGAATGCATTGCCTCATAAGCAAGGTGTGGATGTGAAAGTCGTGCATTTCGATGCAGAAAACGAGAAGAGTGTTTCGGAAAAGTACATTAAGACCGACGCGACTGTTGTGCCACCTGTTGACTTGGCGGAACGCCAGTACAATCGCTATTTACCGCTTAAAATTAACGGTGCGCAGTTCCCTTTGCCTGATAGTGAGGAGTTGCGTGGTAAGAAGATCGTGAGTGTTGTTGTTCTGGCCCCAGTTGAGGCACAACCACCAACTAATGATAGCACTGAACGCCGTAGTGAACGCGATGCCGCAGCTGATGATAAGGAAGTGAAATTCATTGGTGGTGACCTTATCAAGACTTTGGTTAAGAAGCCTACAAAAGAGAATTTCAAGCGCTGGCTGGAGAAAGAAGCGCGAACGGATGTGGAACAGCAATCCGTGGTCCTACTAGTGGCAAAGTAAGTAATTGCAAATCTGTCATCATAGTTACTAAAAATTTTTATTATATTGTACAAAAAATTACTATTAAAAACTTAGTGAAGCATATCCTTCAATTCAGAAATATAAAGTCGGTCCAATTTGTGACATTTCTTTATTTTCGGTATCTAATATTTAAATTTCCATTTTTTTCTTCACTTCAAACAGATCCGTCGACGAAGCAGAGCAGGAGATCTTCATGTACGACATATCGACGGGGGCAGTGAATAAATTGAATGGTGAACTCTCGAGTGCTTTCGTGAATGTTGCTGAGGAGAATGCCAGTTCAGAAGATTTGGAGCACGCCTCAACCTTGGATCCCAGCGTGTTGGAGACCATGATGCAAAAGAGTCAAAGATGAGCGCTAAGCGCTGCGATCAAATGTGCCACCCAAATATGCGAGAAAGCCATTTAAATAAAGACATTTTCAAAACACTATTTGCTTGAGGAAAAAGCTAAAGCGGCTGATTAGAAATAAAAGCAAATTCCTTAGAAATTGGTTAACAAGCGCCACCAACGAAATATAACTTGTGCTATTCTATAGGCTGCCTTCGCCTTAACTTTTGTCCTTATCCTCATAATTTTTCGTTTTCTTCCGTTGTTATTATTATTTTTATTATTCTTTGGTAAAGGTTCCCTGTGTGGCTCTTATTTCTCTTTTTCTGTCTGAAATAAGTACATGATTCGGTGGAATCTACGAAGTTTCCTGCTCTTCGACTACTCTTCAACTTTTGTATAAATTTTATATTCTTTATTTAATTAATTATAGTTAATTTTTATACGATAAATATATTTGTACATATGAAAGTTAAAATTAATAATGAAAGCGAACTATATTTTATAGTCTAAAAATGTTAATAAAAATTACAAAAACAAAATTTTAATATCTCGCCTTTCGAAATTCTTCAGGTTTGCATATGATAAAGGGGCATTGTGAAGAATTGCGTATGTTTATTGTAATGAAGTGAGTGAAGAATATAATTTAAATATGTGTTTAACTTCGGTAACAAAAAGCCGAAATAATAATAAATATATGGTTTGGTGTAAGCCTCACAATTTCGTAAGAGGCAACGAAGATAATAAAAGAGTAATAAAAGGTATCAATTAAACGAGTGAAACCTATTTCCTACTGGGTTGAATGTAACGTTAGTAAAAGTTAATTATTGCGTTAATTGCCAGCAATAATTTGCTCAAGCTGAAACACAACCATGCGTAATTCACGAAATAAATATAATTGAAGGGTAATGAATTAATTGGAAAAACAATTGGAATTGATTTCGGAGGTGCGCAGAGAAAGTATTAATTGCAAAAACGAATTTTTGAGTGTCAGCAATGCCACACGTTCCATGAAAGAGTAAGCGCTCGCTTTATGCAAATATTCTTTATTAAAAAACATTTTCTAAAAGTGAGTTTTTTTCTGTAAGAATTTAGAAGGTCTGGAAACACTTGTGACCAGTTTCATTTTCTTTAAGATAAAGCAGCTGTTTTACTACTCTTGTGCTATTTCCAGTCCCACATCATCTCATGCTAGCCGCTGGCGCAAACATTCCCCCACTGATCAAGATTTTCACTCGAGCACATATGAAGTTGACCTCAAATCAATCGTATAATTTAAATGTGGCCTTAAGACGTGCCGCTATATATCCAGTGGCTAAACCTTTCTACAGGAGCTCTAATTATTTGGAAAACAATTCATAATTACTTATTAGTACGATGGAACATTCCAACCCTTTTGCAGTTTGTATTGGATTCATAAGTATATTAATAATAATAATAGAAAATAATTTTCATCACAGTATATTCCGCTTACCCCGACACGCCCACCCACCGTCTTGATATTATATTACACAAAATGCGTTTTCTCAATGATAATGTAAAGAAGGTCTCTTCAGTGCAGTGGGTTTCATCAATATGGACCACAAATTGTAAACATCGGTCAGTAGAATTTATAACTTAAAAAAATATATTTTACTTTTAAATACAACCTTTTAGCTTACACACCACTTATCTGGTTATAATCATCCAATTTCATTTAACCAATACATAAATGCCATTTGCAAAGTCAAGAATGGAACGAAAAAGTATGAAACGGAGTTTTCTTTGGAAAGAATCCCTACGTGGATATGGTGGTTTGCATTTAACGGAAGACAAAGCAAAGTTATCTAATAAACAATAAACTTATTTGGAGTTTCATTGTCTGATTGAATATATTGCATATAGATTAGCTCCGGATCTCACAGAAAAAGGATTATAAGATTTGATCGTTGTGTTAAAAATGCTTATGGGGCACAGATTTTATATCGTTAGCGTTCAATAAAAATGTGTGTATGAGTGCGTAGAACTATGTAAATAAAGGCAACAACTAATTAGTTGATACGTGCAGGGTCACCGACTGCCAATCAACACGCGGCATTGGGTAAATAATAAAATTTATAGGGAATAGTAGTGCTCTACTCCATCGTGCTTGCCTACCTGTGTGCTTGAGTGTATGTGTGATGATTTTCCCACTACCGATTAGTTACTCCCTGAAAGACTGTCATCCTTGTTGGATGTATTTATATAATTCTCTTCCCACATGCAGCACCATTATACCTAAGTACATATAGTACTCATATATTGCGCGCTTTTCAGATACCCCCGTCTGTAAAGTCAGAAGAGTTCTCAGACATAATTACATACTATCGCGCTAATGGCATACCTATTTTCCACCACCTATTTGTATTGCAATAAAATTAATTACAAATTCAAACGAAAGTGTTTGCGATAAGGTCAGTGCTACTTAACTTACAGCGAAGCGATACGGATCCTCGTCATACGGCTAGTTAGAAATTATCGTTTCGCGTGAAGACATCGTTCCGGCATACACGGTATACCGTTTAGGAATTAGATTAACCTTTTGTCTTTTAATTTTGTGAATTTCATGTTACTTTAAAAATGTCAAAATTTTCGTCGTGTTCACGCGCGGTGCACACATTTCTAACGGGTAAATTTCATTGCCACGAGTTCGCTTACATCATTTATCCCTTCGGTCGCATATACAAGCTCCTGGGATTTGCACCAATTCAGTTGCGACGCGGAGAAGTCTTGCGCAATGGCTGTGACAGGAAATTTTATTGGGACACCAAAGCCTGGATTTTTAGTTGCCTCAACATAATGATTTATACAAGTGAATATTAGCGACATATTTAAAGCGTTTCTTTTCATTTAAATAGTGAGAAGTGGTTGAATTTATTATCAAATCAAGAGATAAGAGAAGATGTGATAAAAAAATCTGACTGGTCCGCATATACAGAACACAGAGCACGGAATTTTTTTAGAGATCCCTACTAATGAACCATAAGTACTCTATGTCCAATTGGCTGTTTTTTTTATGTTTTACTTGAGATCAATTCCACCCGATTTAATAGAGATATGTACAGTGAGAACGAGAAATTTTAAAAACTTTTATTTAAATTTCATATAGTCTAGGCTTAGAAGCAGGAGTCTTAAAGTACTGAAGCCTTCAGAAGGTCAGGAATATATTTGAGGAACACTTTCTGGACACGTTCAATTCGATTAATGAAATTGCTGTGAATTACCGTCCATTACCCGAATCATTTTTCAGAGTTTTTTGATTTCCTCGCCCTTGGTGAGATTTTGTAAGATTTTCCTCAACTAGCTCCTCTTCCACAAATCTCACATTAAATTTTTTAAAATTTGAGTTTTGACTGTATACGCGTTGGTTTATAAAAAATAAATACAAAAACATAATTTGTTCTAATATTATAATTTAACTGAAATTTCATGCAGTTTTACACAGTTATCTACTAGAAATAAAAATTACGTGATTTTTGATTTTGATGGTCCATTTTGTTCTCTGATTTATCGTGAAACCTCAAGTGGGCTTCTGCTTAGGCATTTTTCGACTGCGAGCTGTACCTTATAAACATGGCGACGGCATTTCACGACTGACCAGCTGGGCACAAGTATTCACACTCTTTGTACTTGGACTCATCGCCTGGATCACCGCTTGGACTCACATGGACGACCAGTGTCGATTGCATGCGCTTATCACGAGAATTGATCAGCATCTTCGCGAAATAGACGGCATACAATTTGATTATAAATCGTTGCGCAGACGACTCTTTTGGCAATTGGGATTGCAATTGTTAATCGCATTTCCGGTATCGATGGTGAATTGCATTATCATTTTGCCCGATGAAATGGCATTCTCCCCATTTTCGGCCTGCTATATATTTATTTGTTTTATGCCCATCAGTGTGCTCATCTTCAAGCAGTTCCAATTCTACAATCTAATGCATGTCTTGAAAACGAAATTCGAACTGATCAATAACAAACTGAGTAAATTTACCCGAGATACACACTTCACCAGTGAGCGGACGCACATAGTGACAGTGCGGAAAAGCAACTCAGTCAGTGAGGTGCCTCTGACTGCTGTGCCGACGGCTTCACAGAAAGCCGATTTGATGCACGACGAGCCGAATGTTGACCTCTTGCAAAAGCTGTTGACCATTTATTCAAATATTAGCGATGGCATCGACTTGGTGCTGCACATTTTCGGATGGCATCTGCTCTTTCTCACCGCCGTCTCCTTCGGCGTAATCACCGTTCAAAGTTATAATTTGTTTTCACTGATAAGTCACTCTCTGGTGATACCCACTTATCACATTTTCTTCATTGTGTCTTGGATTTTGGTGCAGGTCATTGCGTTTGCGGTGAATATTTTAATATGCGGAAAGACATCAAGAATGGTGAGAGAATTCTGAGTGCATTATTGAATTTATAACATTGTATATTTTATTAAAAGAGCGCACTATGTATAAATATTATTTATCTTCCAGATGGAGATGACTATTTCGGTTTTACACAAAATTCGCCTGTCTTCGAATGAAGCCCCAAACGCCTGTGTGTTCTACCAAATTCTGCAGCTATTCTCCATGGAAGTGTTGCAAAGGAAACGAAATTTCAATGCAGCGGGCTTTTTCGACATGGACTACAAGTTGATCACATCGGTTAGTGTTGGTATTGTATTACTGGATAAGAGGGTTGCAGAGTAAGTTTCTATTTTCATGCGATTTCTTCATCTTCTTTCAGATTATTGCATCAGCTACCACGTATCTGGTTATTATAATCCAATTTCATTTAACTAATATTCCGGATTGTCATTTTCCCAAATAAAAATTGTGTCAAACACTGATGGTCAATGTGCCGTTAAAATGTCAAAACCTGGAGAACAGTATTGATATGTCAATAACTCCAAATGCCACTTTTAAGTTAAAGTAGTTAAATCAGAGAATGTTAATGCATTTATTTATATTTATGTATACCTTTTTAAATTATACTTATTAACGGTCTTTGCTTTTCAGCATTTACTTGAACACTTGTGCTTTAAACGTTAAATACTTATAGGCGCGTCCGGGGCAAAAAGCTTTTCATTTTTAATGGTGTTTGCGTAGAATGATAAGAGCTTTATCGCGGATACACTGCAGTGGTTTTCAAAATGTCAGGTTAAGCTAAGATTTACACTTTTGCTGATTATTCATCACTCCGTTTCATCAAATTGTAGCTTGGCGAATGATGAAACGAGTTTAGTGTTTTTATACTCTCGCAACTGGTTGCTACAGAGTATAATAGTTTTGTTTACCTAACGGTTGTTTGTATCACCTAAAACTAATCGAGTTAGCTATAGGGTTATATATATAGACGATTAGGATGAAGAGACGAGTTGAAATCCGGGTGACTGTCTGTCCGTCCGTCCGTCTGTGTACACATATTTCTTGGTATTATCCACAGTGTGAAAATGGGTGAAATCGGGTGACAACCCCGCCCACTCCCCATATAACACGCCAGAGACATTAAATTTTATCTCTAGGAAGGTATGAGATGACTTTATAGGAA